GGCACACGCCACCACTCCTGACTAATTTTTGTATTTTTAGTAGAGACAGGGTTTCACCATGTTGGCCAAGTTGGTCTCAAACTCTTGACCTCAAGTGATCCGCCTGCCTGGATCTCCCAGAGTGCCAGGATTACAGGCGTCAGCCACCACGCCCAGCTGACCGTGTTTAACATTAAACTTCAGGTGACATAATGACTGAGTGTCCAGGGCACTACCAAGTCTTTGGAATGAGGAACTTAGCAATGAAGTGTTACTCTCTTAAAGAATTTGAGGCCAGGTGTGGTGGCTCATGTCTGTAATCCCAGCACTTTGGGAGGCCAAGGTGGGCAGATCAAGAAGAGGTCAGGAGTTCAAGACCAGCCTGACCAATGTGGGAAAACCCTGTCTCTACTAAAAATACGAAAATTAGCTGGGCGCGGTGGCATGCGCCTATAGTCCCAGCCACTCAGGAGGCTGAGGCAGGAGAATCGCTTGAACCAGGGAGTTCGAGGTTGCAGTGAGCAAGGTGGCGCCATTGCACTCCAGCCTGGTGACAGAGCGAGACTCTGTCTCAAAAAAGAAAAGAGAGAAAAAAACCTGGGCTGGTTGTGATGGCTCATGCCTATAATCCTAGCATTTTGGGAGGCTGAGTTGGGCAGGTTACTTGAGCACAGAAGTTCAAGATCAGCCTTGGCAACATGGTGAGACTCTGTCTTTACAAGAATTAGCCAGGTGCGGTGATAGGTACCTGTAGTCCCAGCTACTCAGGCGGCTGAGGCAAGAAGATGGCTTTTTTTTTTTTTTGAGATGGAGTCTTGCTCTGTTTCCCAGTCTGGGGTATGGTGGCACATCTGGGCTCACTGCAACCTCTGCTTCCTGAGTTCAAGCAATTCTCCTGCCGCAGCCTCCCGAGCAGCTGGGACTACAGGTGCACACCACCATGTTCAGCTAATTTTTTTGTACTTTTAGTAGTCTCGGGGTTTTACCATATTGGCCAGTCAGTCTTGAGCTCCTGACCTTGTGATTGACCCGCCTCAGCCTCCCAGGGTGCTGGGATTACAGGCGTGAGCCACTACGCCCAGTCAGAAGATTGCTGTGAGCCCAGGACGGAGGTTTCATTGAGCCAAGATAGTGTTGCCGCTCTCCAGGCTGGGCACTAGAATGAGACCCCATCTTCAAATTAGTAAATGTTTTGGGGTTTTTTTGTTTGTTTTTTAGGCAGAGTCTCGCTCTGTTGCCCAGGCTGGAGTGCCATGGCATGATCTTGAACTGCCTTCTGTGTTCCAGTGATTCTTGTGCCTCAGCCTCCTGAGTAGCTGGAACTATAGGTGTGCATCGCCACATCTGGCTAAATTTTTTGTATTTTTAGTAGAGATGGTGTTTTACCTTGTTGGCCAGGCTGTTCTTGAACTCCTGGCCTCAAGCAATCTGTCTTCCTCAGCCCCCCAAAGTGCTGGGATTATAGGAGTGAGCTCCATTGCGCCGGCCCGATTGTGTTTTAAATGAATCTTATATTGAATTGCCCACATGTATCGGACACAGGGCTAATTATTATCATTTTTCTCATGATGGAGGGAAGCATAATGGACGATGAAAATCACTTCTGTGGCTGGGTGCTATGGCTCATGCCTATAATCCCAACACTTTGGGGGCTGAGGCAGAGAGATTGTTTGAGCCCAGGTGTTCAAGACCGGTCTGAGCAACACAGCAAAACTCCATCTCTAGGAAAAGTATAAAAATGCCTGGGTATAGTGGCATGTGCATGTATTCCCTGCTACTCAGGAGGCTGAGGCAGGAGGACTGCTTGAGCCTGGGAGGTCGAGGCTGCAGCGAGCTGTGACTACACCACTGTACTCCAGCCTGGGCAACAGAGTGGACTTCAACTAAAAAAAAAATAAACTTACTTCTGTGTAAGGTTGTTGATTGGAGGCTCTTCCTGCAGCTGATCTCTGAATTCTTTTTTTTTTTTAACTGAGTCTCACTTGGTTGCCCAGGCTGGAGTGCAATGATATGATCTTAACTCACTGCACCCTAGGTCTCCTGGGTCCAAGTGATTCTCCTGCCTCAACCTCCTAAGTAGCTGGGAGTACAGGCAGCTACCCTCTACCACGCCTGGCTAATTTTCGGAATTTTATTAGAGACTGGGTGTCACCATGTTGACCAGGCTGGTCTCGAACTCCTGACCTCAGGTGATCTACCCACCTTGACCTCCCGAAGTGCTGGAATTACAGGCATGTGCCACTGCGCCTGGCCTTGGTCCCCAAATTCTGTCCCTCTCATCTAGGCCCAGCTCTTCCCCCATGCTCTGATCAGAGCTTCCTCCTGGGATCAAGAGAGAGGGCCACTTGACACTGTCTTGAGCTCCCTCCTGGGGACTGGCAAGAAGGCCACCTGTCACCTGCCACACTGTCTTACAGGATCAGGAGCGCCTGGGCAAACAGCTCAAGTTACGTGCAGAAAGAGAAGAAAAGGAGAAGCTGAAAGAGGAGGCCAAGCGGGCCAAGGAAGAGGCCAAGAAGAAGAAGGAGGAAGAGAAGGAGCTGAAGGAAAAGGAGAGGCGGGAGAAACGGGAGAAGGATGAGAAGGAGAAGGCAGAGAAGCAGCGGCTTAAGGAAGAGCGGCGCAAGGAGAGGCAGGAAGCCCTGGAGTGAGTGCCCTCAGCCGTCCGTGCTGGGCCTACCTCCCCGCTGCTGGATTCCACTTCTGGCCGCTCTGATGGGCCTTTGGTGTTTCGCAGGCAGACTGGGGCTGCCATCAGTTCCTTTCTGTTTCTCCTGTGTGAGCTGCACGTGCGTCCCCGACGTGGGAGCAGTGGAAAGCAGCTCCCTGCTCTTTTGTGCTCCCCCATGTCCACTCACCCTGGGCCCCTTGTCTCTGCCTGTGACTGTCCTTCCAGTTCCCAACCAACTGAGGCATTTGCATCGCAGGAATATGGGTTTTGTTTGTGGTAATTTTGCATCGGCTGGCTAAAGTCTTTTATATATATATATTCTAGTCGCAGGAAGAGTTTCATTGTCTATTTGTCGTTTTTATTGTGAAGGCCTACGTTATAGCTTTATAGTAACGTGGAAGTAACATATTCGTTGCTGCAAAGTTAAATACTTGCCATTTACTAACAGCTGCGTACCGTGGTCCCTTCCAGAACGTAGCAAAGAGTCAGCTGAAATGTCATTTGCTGTCTCACAGGGCCAAACTTGAGGAGAAAAGGAAAAAGGAAGAAGAGAAACGGTTAAGAGAGGAGGAGAAGGTAGCGTGTTTCCTTCAGAACTTCCCCATCCCAGCCCGTTGAAGCAGATGCACAAGGTGGAATTCTAGCCACAGCTGTCGTCTTAACGTTCTCTTGGTTTGAGGAAACCAAATGGCGCCCCCAGGAGGGACGAATCTCTAGATGCATCCTTTCGCTTCTTCTCAGTGCTGGTCTGTCACACGCCTACTGGCCCCATACCCTGGCACTTCCACCCACAAGGGCAACTCGGACATTTTGAGACTGGCTGGCATGGTTGCGGGTCTGTGGGTTTTGAGAGCTAAAAAAATCACAGCAGAGCCTTTGAGATAACATGCTTGAGTTTTGGTGCTGGGGGACATTTGCATGTTTTGAAGCGTGCACCGTGTCTTTTCCGCTCTTCTTTCTCATCATTTTCTCTTACATCACAGCGTATTAAAGCAGAGAAGGCTGAAATCACCAGGTTCTTCCAGAAACCAAAGACTCCACAGGCCCCCAAGGTGAGCAGCCGGCTGCCTTTGCTTTCCAGTTTCGGCTGTTTTCTCTCTGAAATTGAAAGGATCTGGCACCAGCCAGCTTCTCTGATCATGAGGCACGGAGCCTCTGGTAAGCCAGGAAAGTTCGTTTTGGTAAACTCTTGAGGCTCAATATTTTGTCTTCGCTTTGACCCAAAAAAGGTAAAAAGTGGCGTGTCTGATTAAAAAGTGCTGTTTTCAGAGGCTGCTTCTGAGTAATTTTGTGTTAGGCGTTAAGAGAAGTTAACCATGTTTTTACCCTTGGGAAACTTAGGCTTGAGGGGCAAACATAGCCGCAAAACAGTAGAATTCACAAAGATTTACTTTCCCCACCTGGCGTTGGTCACCTGACAGCTCAGACCTTCTGAGCCACCATCTGTGCGTGGAAACCACAGCCCTCCGTCCCTTTTACCCAGAGGGAGCCTGTCTCCGATGTTAGCGGGCCTTCAGTGCCTTTCCCTGCTCCACTCACTGTCTGTTCATACATGTGTGTACTTAGCTGTCTCGGGTATGTGTCATATTGCCATATTTAGGTGGATTTCATTCTTTTTAATGTATCTATCTGCCGTTTATTTATTTATTTTTGAGACCGGGTCACACACTGTCACTTAGGCTGGAGTGCAGCGTCACAGTCAGAGCTCACTACAGTCTTGACCTCTCAGGCTCAGGTGATCCTCCCACCTCAGCCTTCGGAGTAGCTGGGACTACAGGCATATGCCACCACACCTGGCTAATTTTTTTTTTTTTTTTGAGACAGAGTCTCACTCTCGCCTAGGCTGGAGTGCAGTGGCGCAGTCTTGGCTCCCTGGGGTCAGGTGAATCTCCTGCCTTAGCCTCCTGAGTAGCTGGAATTACAGGTGCTCACCACCACGCACAGCTAATTTTTGTATTTGTAGAAGAGACAGCGTTTTCCCATGTTGGCCAGTGTGGTCTCAAACTCCTGACCTCAAGTGATCTGCCCACCTCAGCCTCCCAAAGTGCTGGGATTATGGGCATGAGCCACTGCGCCCGGCCTAATTTCTAAATTTTTTTGTACAGACGGGATTTTGCTGTGTTGCCCAGGCTAGTCTTGACCTTCTGGCCTCAAAAGCTTCTCCTAGCCTTGGCCTCTCAAAGTGCTTGGATTGCAGGCGTGAGCCCCTGCTCCTGGCCTATCCTTTTATTTGTATCTCAAAATACTTCACAATTGCATATCTTGAAGGTGCACAACATGACATTGTTGTGCCTACACGTTCCGTAGTGACAAACACAGACCCACGTCATTTCTTTCTCTTTTATTAAAAAAACATATGGACTGCTCCACGAATTTTTGTGTCATCCTTGTGCAGGGGCCGTGCTCATCTTCTCTGTATCGTTCCGATTTTAGTCTATGTGCTGCTGAAGCGAGCACTGTTTTTGTTTGTTCGTTTGTTTTGAGATGGAGTTTTGCTCTTGTTGCCCAGGCTGGAGTGCAGTGGTGTGATCTCAGCTCATCACAACCTCCACCTCCCAGTTTCAAGTGGTTCTCTTGCCTCAGCCTCCCGAGTAGCTGGGATTACAGGCATGTGCCACCACGCCCGGCTGATTTTGTATTTTTAGTTCAGACAGGGTTTCTCCATTTTGATGAGGCTGGTCTCGAACTCCCAACTGCAGATGATTTGCCTGCCTCGGCCTCCCAAAGTGTTGGGATTACAAGCGTGAGCCACTGCGCCTGACCATGTCATTTATTTTCACTGTTGGATAATACTTAATAATGCAATGATATCATGGTTTCTCTCTCTCTCTTTTTTATTTTTATTTTTGAGATGGAGTTTCGCTCTTGTTACCCAGGCTGGAGTGCAATGGCGCGATCTCGGCTCACCGCAACCTCCGCCTCCTGGGTTCAGGCAATTCTCCTGCCTCAACCTCCTGAGTAGCTGGGATTACAGGCACCTGCCACCATGCCCAGCTAATTTTTGTATTTTTAGTAGAGATGGGGTTTCACCATGTTGACCAGGATGGTCTTGATCTCTTGACCTCGTGATCCACCTGCCTTGGCCTCCCAAAGTGCTGGGATTACAGGCTTGAGCCACCGCGCCCGGCCTAAAATTTTATTTATTCATTTGTTTATTTTTTTTTTAAGACGGAATCTTGCTCTGTCACCCAGGTTGGAGTGCTGTGGCTCGATCTTAGCTCACTGCAATCTCCACCTCCCGGGTTTAAGCAGTTCTCCTGCCTTGGCCTTCTTAGTAGCTGGGATTACAGGCACCTGCCACCGTGTCTCACTAATTTTTTATATTTTCAGTAGACACGGTTTTCACCAATTTGGCCAGGTTGATCTCGAACTCCTGACGTGAGATAATGTGCTCACCTCAGCCTCCCTAATTTTATTTGTAGTAGAGATGGGGTCTAACTGTGTTGCCAGGGCTGGTCTTGAACTCCTGGCCTCAGCAGTTCTCTCACCTTAGCCACCCACTGTGCTGGGCTCACAGGCATGAGCCACAGAGCCTGCCGCTATCTCAGCTTCTCTGCCCCTCAGTGGCACAGTAGGGGTTCCTGAGTATGCTTCTCTGCACACATGCGTCCTCTGGGACAGCCAACCTCTAGGACAAAACAGCACATTGCTGAAACGTTGTTAGCCATGGCCAGAGTGCCCGCCAGACAGGAAAACTCAGGTGTACGTGCCTGGCAGTGCCTGACAATGTCTCTTCCTGATTCTGTGATATTAATGGATGGAATGAATTTTAACTTTGCCAGTCTGATGGATTAAAAAAAATTGATATTCTTATTTTACTTTCCATTTTTACTTGACTCTTGGTGCAGTGGAGCATTTTTTTGTGTTGGTTTCCCATTTTAGTTCTTCTGTGACTTGCCAATTCCTATTTTTTACCTATTTTTTTTTTTAACAGAACTGACTCTTTTTTTTGGCCTGATCTGTAATACAAGTATTTTTTACAGTCTGGTATTTAATCCTCTGATATTTCATCTCAGTCTACTACGTCTTTGTTTACAGAGTCTTTTGTTATACAGAAATTTCTCCTTTTGGCCTTGTGCAGTGGCTCACGACTGTAATCCCAGCACTTGGGGAGGCCAAGGCAAGTGGATCACCTGAAGTCAGGAGTTCGAGACCAGCCTGGCCAACATGGTGAAATCTTGTCTCCAGTAAAAATACAGAAATTAACTGAGCGTGGTGGTGGGCACCTATAATCCTAGCTACTCATGAGACTGAGGCAGGAGAATCCCTTGAATTCGGGAGGAGCGGGTTGCAGTGAGCCAAGATCATGCCAGTGCACTCCAGGCTGCATGATAAAGCGAGATTCCATCTCAGAAAAACAGAGCAGTTGGAGACCAGCCTGGGCGACACGGTAAGACCCTGTCTCTAAATTATTTTTTTTTCTTTTGAGACGGAGTCTCACTCTCGCCCAGGCTGGGGTGCAGTGGCACCATGTTGGCTCAGTGCACCCTCCACCTCCTGGGTTCAAGTGATTCTTCTGCCTCAGCCTCCCTAATAGTGGGACTACAGGTGCCCACCACCACCCCTTGCTAAGTTTTTTATTTTTTTGTAGAGACAGGATTTCACCATGTTGTCCAGGCTGGTCTTGAACTCCTGACCTTAGGTGATCCACTGTCTTTGGCCTCCCAGAGTGCTGGGATTACAGTCCTGAGCTACTGTGCTGGCCCTTTTTTTTTTTTTTTAAGCAAGGTTTGTTGAGATATAATTTACATGCAATAAAACACATGCTTTTCAGGACTTTCATATTGACAGATTACGGGGCCAGCTAACCATAATGAAGATACACACTGTTTCCATCACTCAAAACGCTCCCTTTTTGTCTGTCCCCACATCCTGTCCCTTGAGACTCCCAATCTGACCTCCATCCTATAGCTCTGGAAACTCGGCTCTGTGGATCTACATAGTGCCTGGGCTTTTGAGTCTGCGCCTTGCCCTTAGCCTGGTGAATCGCACCAGCACCCTGCTGTGTGTGTCCATGGTGGCCTCTTTCTCCCATTGCTTGAAGACCCCACTGGGTCTCTTCTTTATTTCAGACCCTTGCCGGCTCCTGTGGAAAGTTTGCCCCCTTTGAAATTAAAGAGCACATGGTCCTGGCCCCTCAGTGTCGGACTGTTTTCGACCCAGACCTCTGCAGTCAGCTAGACGAGCTCCTTCAGCAGCAGAACGGAGAATTATCCTTCTTGAAAGACCTCAAAGGCCGGCAGCCTCTGAGGTCCGGACCCACTCAGGTTTCCACCCAGAACGCAGACATTTTCAACAGGTCAGAGCCCAAGGAGGTTGGCCTTTGCCCACTAGTGATGCTGGAGGGCAGCTGCCCGAACCCTGGGTTCCCGAGGCAGGAGCTCTGGGGCCTTCTGCTGCTTGCCTTCTGCTGGCTCAGGAGTCCCTCCACCTGGCCTCGCTGTGAGCCCCTGAAGTTTTCCTTTTTCTGTCTTCCCAGCCCCTCCTGGAGGAATCTTATTTCCCTGCTGGGCTCCAGTGAAGGACACCCCCTGCTCTTGCAGATTTCCTGGCTCCATTGAACTCCCCTTGCTAAAAATGCTCTGGGCTGAACCTGGGCAGCCTTATTCCCTCTCCTCCTGCAGGCTGTACCCTCCTCCCTCTGTCCCTTGAGTCCACATTCCTGGCCTTTCTTTGGGGACAGGTAGTGCTGGTTTTTACAGTCTCCCAACTTTCTGGAATTGTCAGCCAGCTTCACTGGGAGGTCCCTGGGAGGTGTGTGAGCAAGTCTAGGGCAGCCCGATCCTGAGCCCAGAGTTTTCCTTAGTGATGTCGTGATTGTGGAGCCTGGGAAGGGCGACGGTGTTCCTGAGAGGAGGAAGTTCGGCAGGATGAAGCTCCTGCAGTTCTGCGAGAACCACCGGCCAGCCTACTGGGGGACCTGGAACAAAAAGACAGCGCTCATCCGTGCCCGAGACCCCTGGGCCCAGGACACGGTGAGCGGGCCCGAGCAGGCCTCCGTCCCTGTACCTCCTCGCTGTGCCCCATCCCTCTAGCCCCGAAGGCAGTCGTGAGTCCCGTGTGTTTCTTTTCTCAGAAGCTCCTCGACTATGAGGTAGACAGCGATGAGGAGTGGGAAGAAGAGGAGCCTGGGGAGTCCCTGTCCCATAGTGAAGGGGTAAGGACATACCCCAGCTGTGTTCACTCACGGACAGCTTTTGTTTGGCCTGCTGTGTGGTCTAAAACCCAAATCTCCCTTAACATCCACACTTCCAGCTTCGCTTGAAAAATCTCACCCTGGCGACACTCGCCTGTGTGGCTGCCTGGGGTAGGATCCTGTTCGCATCTGCACCGTGGCCCTGCAGCTCCATCTCATCTCCTGCCAGCCTGTGACTCACCACTTCCACCTGATGGCACAGCTGCTGTGACTTGGTGGCTTTCTGCTGATTGCTCACTGTCCGTCAGAAGGCCATGCCAGACAGATGTTCACAGCTTTTCCTTTTTTGGTCTAAGACAGTCTTGCTTTATCACCCGGGCTGGAGTGCAGTGGCGCCATCTTGGTTCACTGCAACCTCTGCCTTCTGGGTTCAAGTGATTCTCCTGCCCCAGCCTCTCTAGGAGCTGGGATTACAGGTGCCCAACTAAAATTCGTATTTTTTCTTTTTTTTTTTTATACCTTGCATCCAGTTCCTGTGTAAAGTAGGCCTCACTAAAATTCGTATTTTTAGTAGAGATGGTGTTTCACCATGTTAGCCAGGCTGGTGTTGAACTCTTGAGCTCAAGTGATCCACCTACCTTGGCCTTCCAAAGAACTGAGATTAGAGGCGTGAGCCACCGTAGATGCACACTCTGCTTTTCCATCTGATGAACTCATTTGTTCTCCTTTTGAGGATGATGACGACGACATGGGAGAGGATGAAGATGACGACGATGGTTTCTTTGTGCCCCATGGGTACCTGTCTGAGGATGAAGGTGTGACAGAGGTGAGGGAGTGAAAGGGAGGTCACTGGCTCAGAAAAAGCTCATTCACAGACTGGTGGTCAGTGGCGTGACCTGGGAGGGTGACAGGAGTCCCCACCCAGCCATACGCGATTTGAACTGTGTTCCCAGCATGCAAGCTCACTTGTCGGAATGGCCTGAACTTAGCATCACTTGGGAGGGTGGTAAACATAAGAGGAAATTGCAAGTGAGCAGACACTGGTGAGGGAGCATGGCCGTAGCCTGTAGGTTAGAAGGCTGGAAACCACTCTATCGGGCGTACAGTCAGCATGCACCAAGACGTGTGCATCGTGAGTGTTGAGTTTGATGACTTAAAACAGTCGAGTGGATGTGTGTAACCACAACCCAGAATAAAGCGTAGACCTTCCCCATCTCTCCAAAAGGTTCCCCTGCAAACCCTTTCAGATTCCATAAGGATGTAGAACTCCAGCAAGTTGTTTTTGGGGCTCTGAAGGCCTGTCATTTGGGAAGCGGGGATT